GTGGTGCTGGGGGATCGAACCGCGGTCCCTGTGCTTTCCCAAGCTTGTTCCAAGTAGGTGCTTTTAGACCACTGAGCCATCTCGCCAGCCCGGGTGCTTTTTTTATGGCTAGAAAATATATATACTATCTGTGATTTGTGTTAAGTGTTTATCTTACTTTTAGTATTCAGGTAAAAATGTTTCAGTAATTTTTAAAAAATATTTAAGCAAGTATCTCAAGGGGTGTACTTTCTTTAAAATTCTAATTTTTCCCCCAATATAAAAGCTATTTTAGAGGTGGGTGAGATAGCTCAGTGGTCTAAAGTACCTGCTTAGGCAAGCTTAGGCAGGTGCAGGGAACCATGTGCAGCAACAGCCCTGCCCTCAGGGTGGGAGGAGCTGGCAATAAATAAATAAATACAAGCTATTTTAAAGAAAAAAAAAAAAAAGAGAGATCCATGATGACAGGATTTTATCTCTGGAGACAAGTTTTCTAGGAAATGGAGAGCCATATAAAGGAAGGCCTATAAGGGTGTGGGCTGAGGCTCAGCAGTAAAGCACGAGCCTATACATTAGGCAGGCCCTGGACTTGATGCCTGGGACAGAAAAGGGACTATTAGGTTCATACTGGTTTCTTAACATGAGCCAATGCTGTGTATTCAATAGATGCCCCCAAAACAAAAAGATACACAAACATTTTTAAATTCAAGACAGATGACTATGTTTTTAAAAAGAGAGCCTGAACAATCATCTCTAATACATCTGAGCACAACAGAGAGTCAGAGATGGAGACCACTTGGAGGAAGAAGTTTTATGGTGTAAATGTCACTGAAAATGCCAAAATCCAGTACTCTACCTTATAACACTGTCTCCTCCCATTCCCAACATACCAATTAACAGTATCAAAAAACCAACAGGAACCACAAATAATTTAATTATTTTTGTTTTCAATAAATAGAATGTAATTCACATTTAAATATCTGGAAGACCCATTAAGAAACAAAGGAACACATACCTGTGAGGGTCCTTGGAACTTGGAATGATATATACACATTCCCTCTTGGTCAAAGTGCTTTCTATCCAGGATTTCTGGGACTAAAACAGAAAGAATGGCTTAAGCTATCCCATTAACATAAAACGAAAATAATGTAATGATAAACACACAAAAACAGTTCTGCTAGGTGTGGTGGTGCACAGCTGTCACCTCGGCTACTTAGGAGGGGAAAGCAGAAGAGTCACCACTGCAAGGCCAGCATGATGGACTCAAGGAGACTCTCAAGAAAATGCAGGGTTAAAAAAGAAAGAAATGCACGGGGAGAGCTGCTTGTACAGTAGCAAATAAGAAACCCCTCAACGTCAAGCCCAAGCCACACAAATCAAAACAAAAAAATAGGTTCTATAGTATTTAATTTTGTTTTAATCCACTAGTTACTATACTCTTACCGATGATAGTACATGTAAACATTAAAATAATCCCATTTAAATCCAATGTGATTTAAATGGGAGCTGTACCAGAAGCAAGGAAAAAAAACAAGTGTGCTGAAACATGGACCAAAAGCCAAAGACCTCAAGAGGCACAGAACATTTAAAAGACAATTTAAGAAAAACTTTCAGTCAATTACTGAATACTCTCAGAAAATATTCACAGGGGCCAGGGAGATGGCTCAGTGGAATAAGCGCTACCCTGGCAAGCGCAAGGGCCTGAGTTCAATCTCCGCTTCCAAAAAAAAGAAAAGAAAAGAAAAGAAAAAGAAAAAGAAAATATTCACCAACAACAATGCAATCAACATCATGTAAATAAAATTAAGTCCTCAATATTTGAAGTTACTTTGAGAATCAAAGAAAAAAGCAATAATAAAAAATTTTAAATTCTTGCCCTGCATGGTGGGGCAGGCTTGTGATTCCTGCACTCAGAAGGCTGAGGCAGGTGGATCACTGTGAGTTCAAGGCCAGTGCGGGGTGAGTTTAGGCCCAGTCTGTACTACAAAGTAAGACCCCCATCTCTAAATCAGTCAGTCAGTCAGTCAGTCAGTCAGTCAGTCTGTCTGTCTGTCTGTCTGTCTACCTACCTTGGACATGAACCATGAAAATGAGATGCACTTCAAACTTGTTCAGTGCAGTCTAAATGGTGCTTAAGGGAAACGTATAGCCTTAAGGGATCATGCTAGAAAACAAGGGCTAAAACTTAATGAGCTATTGTGCAAATAAAAAATACAATGAAAGACTAAACCTTAAAAAAGATAAGCAATAAAAAAGAAAAATAAGAAACAAAGAAAAAAAGCAAAAACAACTTCCAAGAAACAAGATAAGGTAAAAAGTTGATTCTCAACATAAATAAGAAGAGTGAAAAGATACAATATAACAGGCTATTATCAACTGTTGATCAACAACTCTACCAACAATCCTATTACTAATAAGTCCAAAACATTCTAAAACATGAAATAGGCATATCCATGGGCTGGAGAGATGGCTCAGTGGTCTAAAGCACCTACTTAGAACAAGCTTAGCAAAGCACAGGGACCGCGGTTCAATCCCCCAGCACCACATGCCAGCCAGCCCCGCCCCCTGGTGGGCTGAGCTGGCCACACACACACACACACACACACAAATATTTAAAAAAAAAAAAAGAAATAGGCATATCCTAGGAAAGGGTAAATAAAGAGAAAGTGGTATACTGGGAAAAACTGACAAAGTTTAAAGAATTTTTCATACTATCCTTTCAACTCTTCAGTAAGCCTGAAATTATTTTAAATTAGAAAGACCTACTTAGGCTTCTGCCTGAATCCCTAGGTTCAGTGGTGGTGAACCTATGGCATGCCTGTTATTGTATTTTTCTTGTAAGACAAAAGATGTTAATATACGAGCTGTTTTTTTCTAATCTAAAACTCATTATTCAGGTTTCACTGCAGTGTTGGCACTTCAGGATACACAAATGGACTAGAGGTTGTAGTCTGGCGCTTAGTCTCTAAAAGTTTGCTTTCACTGTCTTAAGACTCTGTATTCTGTTGCTGGTGACTGTGTACCAAGATTAGAAGAAATTTTCTAAAACTGAGTAGACAAGATTTTAGGTTCCATCCTCCTCCCCAATACATACATATCCTTGGAAAGTACAAGAGATGTTTTTATTTGCACCACCAGAAACCTATAGGCAAACAAAAGTATGATGGGTGAATCTTCCAGGTTCTTTTAGAGTCCATCAGGAACCCTAATGATAAATTTTCATTTTTCCCCAACCTCTAGTTCTGCTTCCAAAATTCTAATCTTCAAATTTTCTAATTACTAAGATTAAAAAAGGTGTCCTTGGACTGGAGAGATAGCTCAGGGGTCCAAGTGCCTACTTGGCAAGCGCAAGGACCCAAGTTTGATCCCTGGCACCACATGCTATGCCAGCCCCTGAACCCCTGGACAGGCCAAGCCAGCCACCGAAATGGGTGTGGTGGTGCCTGCCTGTAATCCCAGCGCTGGAGAGGCTGAGACAGGAGGATCACTCTGAGTCTAAGCTGTGTAGTGAGACCTGTATCCAATAAATGAATCATTTTTTAAAAAAAGGTTTCCTTCAACTAAGTAGGGGCAAATTATATGACCCACTAGCCATGAAAATCACATCATCAGTTCCAAACTTAAAGATTTTTATTGCCAAAATTTCCTATGCTCCAGGTTCCTTCCAGTACCCTTTTGTTTAAGTAAACTCTTTTATCTCCTGAAGAACCTGCTTCTTTTACATGACTCTGAAAAGATGGGGGCGGGAGATGGGCCAGGAGAGGAAAGGAATCTCTAGCTTCCAGATAGGACAAGTCATCTTTCGTCCAGTGTGATCTACCTGCGACTGCCTACACTGTCAACATGACTAGCAGAAACAAAACACTGCCCTCTGGAGTCACCTTAAAATCCTATCGTGAACCTCAAATGCTTCTTACTGGTGCTCCAAAATCACAGTTTACCTGCCACATTTTCTCGCTCCCTTGGATTTCTTAGCATCTCTTCTTCATAAAGTTCCAACCCAAACCTTCATCCGACAGTTGCACTCTCACTTGCCATTTCACTCAGAAAAGAAAGCAACCCAAAGAGAACTGCACCCAACCTCTTCCCACCCCACACTAAATCTCCAGAGAGGGAGTGGGGTGCTGCTCCCATACAAGTCGGGTGACCGTGCAGCTCCGGTGCCCTGATCCTGGGCCTCTAAGCCAAGGACATTCTCTACCTTCCACTCCTGCTTGCTCCCTCCTTACTGGCCCATCCCCACCAGCACGTGACACGCTATTATTCTCCAAATCTTTAAAAACAGCACAACAAACCTTTTTTGACTCTACTTTCCTTCATGTTACTCACACCAGTTCTGTACCCCCATCTGCAATAAAGAGCACTGGAAAAGGTTTATTTTTTTTTAAAGACAGGATCTCACTGTGTAGTTCAGGTTGGCCTTGAACTCACTATGTAGCCCAGGCCGGATTCAATCTTAATGGCAACCTTGGTCTGAGCATACCACACACAGAGATTACATGCATGTGTCATTATTTGTCTTTTCTTCCCACTTTCTAAGATCCTTAGAGGTCAGTTTTCAAGCCGACCACTTTCCTAAAGTAAGTTTTGACAAGATTACCAACAATATTCTCCAAATCCAAAGGTCAAAATTCAGTCCCAAGCCCACTGATGGGTCACAGCAGCACTACCATCCCTCCTTCACAGTCCACACTTTATTTCCTTGTTGGTGCCTTCTCCCAGTCTCTTCTCCTGCTGTTTCCACAGTGCTGGGCAATGAACCCACAGCCCTGCTCATGCTAGGCACATGCTCTACCATGGTACTACAGCCTCAGCCCTCCACGAGATCTTAAAAGAGCCAAACTCAGGGGCCAGGGAGATAGCTCAGCAGTATAAGCGCTTGCCTGACAAGCATAAGGTCCTGAGTTTGATCCCCCCCACACACACAAAAAAAAATTCACACTTCTTTTTGTCTTCCACAACACGGCCAGTTGCCACTGGACAACAACCACTCACAAATTTCCATCTCCATACCAGATGGAGCTCCATGCTCATGAATCTGCTTGCTCAGCACTATTTTCACAGGTTACAAGCATCTCCCCCTAAGCCTACAACTGAACTTTCACCCATGGAACTCGCTCCTTGTGCAGCCTTGCTCATCTGTATACAAATGGGAGCTCCAGCCTTCTAGGTCCATTCCAAAAAGCAGAGACCTCAACACCAAGGACTTAAGTCAGTCGGCGCTCTGGACAAAAGCTCCAAGGCGCAGAGCCTCCCTAGAACCACATTTTTAACAATGTCAAGGAGCAGATCTGTCACTTCAGTTCGAGTGCTGATGTGCTATTTTTATCCTGGCTTTCTCACATTCCATACCCACAAACTGAACTTTTACAGCACATACTTACTGATGTCAGTTATGCCTGAACTTGAAAACAAGTTATATGGTAGTTCTACTCTACACAGGAGGTACAATTTCCATCAAAATGAATTCAGCCTCCCCCCGACTCCCACTGGGGCTCCAACCCAGGCCCTTCAGCCCTTTTTTATTGAGACAGTGTCACTAAGTCACTAACTTGCCTAGACTGGATTCAAATTTGTGAACCACCTGTCTTAACCTCCCAAAGTCCTGAGATTACAGGCGTGTACTAACACATCTTCCTGACCTACTGCTTTAAACTCAGGAAGTTTTCCTTGCGTTTTTTGGGGTTTTTTTGCAGTGGTGGGGGGGGGCATAAGTATGGGAAACAAGTGCTCAACTTATCTTACACCCACAATCCTATGAAGTAGGCACCATCAATACTCCCCCACAGGGCTGGGGAGATGGCTCAGTAGAATAAGCGCTTCCCTGGCAAGCGCAAGGGCCTCAATTCAATCCCTGGTTCTGCAAAAAAACAAAAACAAAAACAAAAACAAAAACAGAAACAAAACCTCCTCCATTACAGACG